ACTAAACAACATATTCGAAAAACATGAAATATTAAAGAAAATGGTTTTTATGTATAAATATTAAAGAAGGAAATTGCCATTTAGACATCATTTTCTTTAACAATTCTTCTACTAATGATCAGCGATATAATTATCGGAAAGGTGGTTGAAAAATGAAGGAGTATTCGGGACCCAAATTCGCCGAACATCACAGCGATTTTTGGTGATTTTAGCAAATATTGCACAAAACCACTCCAACATATAATTTAAAGCAATTCTAGGGCAATTTTGAGTGACTTTGAGTACTGGAGTAGTCACCGTTACTTTTAGAGACCTCGTTTGTGTCAATTAAATACATTTTAGCAAATCTACATAATGACACTTAAAATCTATATGGGTGATATAGCCTCCTTCGCAGGGAGTAGTATGCTTTTCMTTCCTTCCTAGCCCCCTCCCCCTCCGGCAGCTTTTTTGCCTTAACACAGGAATCCCACGGAGTAGAGTTGCCTGCGAAGGAGGCTAGGTGATATATTGTGTGCAAGATGTTATTTTAATAAAAGTTGGTATGTATAAATTAGTTAAATTTCATGGCTAACTTTTWGAAGCAGAAAGAGGGACAAAAACCAATCATTTCACGTTCAAAATGGCCTTTGAGTGACATTCATTTGTTTTCATTGTATATGGACATTTCATCATAAAAGACGGTAATAGAAGTAAGAGTTAGTGACCAAGAACGGGGGCATTACGCTATATACAATTTATTATATGGTTTGAAATTTCTTGAATTCTGATTGGCTGACGTGCGGTCCGTCCAAAGCCGTATTGGACCGTTGCTAGGGTATAGGGTATAGAAAGCCGAAGGGATTCAAACCGGTATCTTGACAAGAATGAAATCCTCTTCTTATAAGACTTAAAGTCTACTTTGCTCGGTTCAATGACTCCTCGGTTGCTGGAAAAGAAGGAAAATTGTAATTCTATATTGAGAGACATCCCGACTTCGTTGATGTTTAAAAAAAATGTAGGTACTGAAAACACAAGAAAAGTTTGAATCAGTGTGAGCTCGTTCAAATGCCTAGCTTTCTCATTCAAAACACTCAGCTGAAAACAGGCGAACTTTCAAGCTGACTTGAAAGTGTATAGCGGTGTATAGTCGTCGTCTATCGAGTTTACTTTTGCAAATGCTCGATGTACTATAACTCCTCGGTTGCTGGAAAAGAAAGAAAATTGTAATTCTATATTGAGGGACATCCACTTCGAAAAAGTAAACAAATCTACACTGGCGGCCGCGACGATAGAAGAATCAGTGAAAATTTGTGAGTAAGCTGTAATAATAATAATGTATTTGTGTATGAAAATAAACTGAATCTATGAAACAAGGAGCCAAAATCCCCGTCTTTTTAGCCGACAATTACTGAAAAAATGATGATTTCTTTGTCATTTTACTCATATCGTGAGATAAGATATTTGAGAAAAGCGTTGCCCGATCTGATAGAGGGAGGCAAGGGGTTGCAAGTTGACCAGTGAGACTTCTCCTACATACTTTGAGTAATTCTTCTACATAATCTACGATGTAAAAGCCATATAATAAATGAGTTATTAACCTCGCTTGCTCGATCTGTTCGAGAATATCAGACCTCGGTCTTTTATGTACTTTCAAGACCTCGGTCTGATATTTTCCCGTGCAGACCTCGCGCTCGGTTAATAACATCTTTGTATATAGCGGCCGGAATGCCGACGTGCGATGTAACTTACACACTTAGTTTTCAATTAACGTGGTTTTCGCAAAAACTGAATAGACTAAATGAATGTTTTCTTAGTTTGGATTTGAACAATAGAATCCTCTCCTCTTGAGACTTTTTCATGGTCTGTTGAAATTAGTTCCCTAACCTGTTCATGCGAAAGCGATCGATCGAAATTCGATTTGAAATTTGTTATCAAATATTCCTAACAGTCATTCTGAAAACGATGTTGAACAGTGACGACGATTTGTTTATAGCTCAAAATACTTTCGATAGTCATTCCTTTGCCGAACTTTGACATTGACGATTTGCTATCGTATTTGGGACTCCATATAGCCTACTCCCGCAAATATCGATGACAAAGTCTGCAGATGAGAAAAACAAGAGAAAACTTACAACAATTTTTGTGACGAAAGGCCTTCTGGGAAGGCTTTTTGTGACGAAAGGCCTTCTGGGAAGGCTTTCGTCACTATGTCATCGGTTCTGAGTGAAAGAGTGAAAGAAAGAGTTGTAACCATTCCACTTGAAGCAGGCGTTCCTAGCGGTTATCAAAACATGTGATCGTTGTCAAGGAGATGCCGCTGGCTAAGGGAACGAAGGCTACGAAAACGCGATTACTGTCCTTCACGTGCTCTCTCTGACTGGTGTGTTGCTTCGAAGGTGAGTTGTGAGTTTTATACAACGTATTCAAACTCTTTTGTGTCTAGAACTAGGCAAAACTATCTATGCATTTGTAAATTTAGTATTTCTTAAGAATTGTTCAGATTTTTGGGCACTTTATGTAGTT